GGTTGGGTTTGAGTCGAGTTTTCGAGTCGTGTCAAATATTGACACCCCTACTTCAACCTACCCTTAGCTAAACAGAAGAGGACAAATTGAACCAACAGTACTATAAGAAGGCCATTGTCATTGTAGGGGACATTGAAGTTAATTATACTGGTGCAATACGAGGGTAAGGAGGCCAGCAGCAAAGAGAAAGGAGGAAACTTTGATTACTTGCAAAGTTCATTATATATACATGTGTAAATGTCATATGAGCATCCTCTAATTATAAGAAATGTTGTCATTTCAAGGAAATAGAAAGCAAGTAATCAAAAAGAGAACAGAGGGGGTGTAGGTGAGCTTTTTCATATAAAACACAGCATGAAAAAATCAACTACATAAAAGTGTTACTTACATGATTTGGGGTTTGATCTTATTCAAAATTGGTTGTGATGACAAGTCTGATGGCTGTATTCTGTATCAAGTATCATCCAATGGCACCAAAGATCTCTTTTAGGTAGTTTTCTGGGCATCATAGTGTTACTGCAACAGTAATGTATCCTCTTACTTCAGAAGTAAATCATTGCATAACCTGCTGATCATGTCTGAAACAAGGTATACAACAGTCATGAAGTATTATTAACCTGCTTATCAGCATTTCTACTTTCTCATCCTCGCCATTGCTGCCTCTGCAAAGGCTTACACTCAGGGGTAGCCAACCTCTCTACTTTGTTTCAAGAAAGATCCTCCGGACTTTCCAGCTTTTCCAATCTTATATTTGAGCACTCGTAAAGGCAACAAGGAAAATATTCTGAACTCATGCGGCATCACAAAAAAATGCTTTGAAGCAAGAAAATAGAAAATTATCAACAACACAATAGATTAAGGCTTCATTTGGGACGGCTTTTACAAGAAAATTTGTATTAGAAAACAGTTTTAGAAAGCAATACGAAAGTTGTCCCAAACGAAGCCTAAATATCAAGGACAGTTCTCTTAAATGTTCTACCAGTGAACTTGATGAATAAGGTTATGAAGAACATTTAAAAGCTAATAGATTGGCTTCACCGTGTATTAAAACATGAAGCAGAGAGAATATTTAAGGCATAGAATAGACCAAATGTAAAACTGAGACATCACAAGCTCAAGCAACCATGCAGATCTATTTCAGCAGACTGTTAACAATTGTGATAAAAGAAATAGAAAAGTTTTAAACCACCTTTCTATAGGTAGGTTGAGAGCTATATCATCTTCATTACATATGATTAATCTCAACATTCCAGATCAAAAGGAAAAAGTACCATAATTAATCCCCCATTTCAAGTCTTTAGCCTTTACTTTTTGCAAACAATAGAGTAGCCATGTATTGATGATCCCTTCAAAAGCTGTTCTATTCACAGATAAAATTATTCCTAAATCAATGGGAGGAATTAATGCAATCCATGTAGTCTTCCCACGGATTACTGTTCACAGCCGTAGATATCTTTGGGATCGTAAGGTTGAGATTTAACAACAACATTATAATCCAATAAGATTGCCAATTTTGAGAAACCAGTAGGAATAAATCAAATAGAGGAATTGAACTTCAGCTATCAGCTATACGTGAAACAACAAAACTATTGATTATCCATAATTGCAATGAAATAATTTTAGTTCTCACTTTATAAATCATAAAAATCAACATGCATCAAAACTTTATAACTGGACTGCAAATGCAATGCGTAGATAGGTATGAGATATATAGATAATTTATTTTCAACTAATCTTTAATATTATCCCATATTAATTTATTATTTGTCTTTTGTTTTTTGTTGATCCAATTGGGATTTCATAAGATTTGCAATCAGTCATTTTTATTTCTTTCAGTAAATTCATCGTATATATATTTGTTAAGAGAGTAAAATTTCTTATTCTAATTGATCACCTATTTTTAAGAACTATTTGAATTTGCCCAACTCTTTGACCACAAATTCATCAATAAGCTTCTTTCTAAGAGACTAATTTCTCTATTATCATCACTTATAATAATTATATTGTTAATATATATAACACGAATTGAGATTATGTCATCAGTTTAGTGTATTATGAAGATGACATGTTCTCCTTGATTTTGTTTATATTCATCTTCATTTATAGCTTTTATGAATCTACCAAACCATGATCTCAAAGATTGTTTAAGGCTATACAAAGCCTTTTTTAATTTACATAATTGTTCTCTATAAAAGAACTATCAAATCTAGGTGATGGATCCATATAGAATTCTTCAACATCACCATGTAGGAAAGCATTCTTTCCATCATAATGTTACATTGACCATCCAGGATCAGCTGCAAGTGAAATTAAAATGTGTATTACATTCATTTTTACAACAAGAGAAAAATTTTCCTGATAGTCAACTCCATAAGATTGAGTATGGCACTTGACTACCAATCTCCCTTGATATCATTCCAGAATTTCATTTACTCTATATTTTATAGAAAAGATTCATCTGCTTTATACTATTCTTTTTTCGTTTTGATAGTTCATGATCTTCGAAGTGTGATTTTTTTTCAAAGCATTCATCTCTTCTCACATAGCATCCTTCCAAATCTTATTTTCAAATGTCTCAAATAAAATTTGAGGTATTATAATAGACTTAGAGCTGATACTTATAACAAAGGCTTTATTGGTAGGAGAAATTTTTGAAAAAATACATACAGTGAGATAAGATGCAAAAAAGAATGTGCAAATATGTAATGATAGCCGATCATTGTTGCCTAATAATAGTTCTGATTTTTAAGTTTACTGGAGATTTTGGCTAGGCTTACTTCTTCTTATATAGACTTGAAGGGATACATTTAAGTTTGCATTGTAGAAATGTCAAGATGAAAAATAGAGGTTTCGTCAAAAATTTTATCTCTATTTTCCATCTAGTTGAGAGTTCTCCAAAAAAAGAGTTTGATTGAAAAAGCTTTCTTTATCATTTGACATCTTTTAAAGTAAAAAAAAAATGTTGTAGTTGAGTGATAATAGTTTTACCCTTTTTTATTGGAGGAACACCTATTAAAGATACATTTAAGAGCTCTAGAATAAAATTTATCGCTGTGTTGGTTGTAGATATGGATATAAGTAATGTGACACTTGTAAAATTGATGAACCATTCAACCCGTTCTAATTTGACCAGATTCAAGGTAATCCATTAAATTTCTTCATTTGAACTCTTCTACATGTGTATGAAAAAGTTAAATATGCATGTGAGAGTCTACATATGATCTGAAATGAGTCCCGATGATCTATTTGCATGTTTGAGCAAGTCTGATTTTTTCCTCTGGGTGTCGCAGCGCTTGGGTTGGCAACGCTTCGACGCCAATGCTCTCGGGTTTTTTGGCAGAATAATTCAACACGACATAACTGTGGGTTTTCTAAGTGAGCACCGTGGCGAGTGCCACTCGCATCGTAACACTAGGTCAAATTTTAATATTTAAAATATCCAAATCTATTATTCCATTTGATGTATTTTGTCTGATTCGTCGCCTTGCGAGAGAAAGGGAGAGAATCCTTGAGAGATAAAGTCTATTTTGAGGCGCTCTAGGTCATTTTCAAATTTCAACTGATAATTCAGTACTGAAAATTATCCAGCTCGAGGTATGTTGCATTTTGCTTATCTTAGTTTTTAATAATTCAACAGTTTTGAGATTTTTCTAATTAAAAATATGAATTTACGATGCTTAAACTGAGATAACTTTTACCGTGTAACTCTACGTTGCACCGATACGGATACGACACGATACGAATACAGGACACGTCAATTCTTAAAAATTTAGGATACGAGTACGGCGCGAACACAACATTGTAATTTATAAATCATAAATAAAAATTAAGAAATCAATCAAAGCATAATATTTGAAATTACAAAAAAAAAATGAAAGCAACTCATTTGTAGCCTTGTAGCTTATAATATCAAAATAAAAGTAAACACTAAATATCTAGTACAACAACAAAAGCATAAACATAAATTGTCTATTACATGAAATTTCAACTATTAAGTAGAAGGAATGATATGATTAGCTTCTTCAGTGGGTTATCATTGAACTTCTATATCATCTTCAATAAATATCATAGCTTCTGATTCAAGCTCATCAAGTGAAAGATTATCAATTTTTAATATTCTCATATCATCAAGAGACTCAAATCCATCTCGAAAATGAGAGAACCTCGCTCGCAGCCGCGGAATTAAATACAACGCGTCTTTTTTGGTATTTCTTTTTGTTTTTCAACGGACACGTATATCGGACACACATGTACCTTCAAAATTAAATAATATTTTAATTGGATACGGCTTTGCTATATCTGACACATATCAATGTCGTATCAGAGGCGTATCCATGTATCGGTGTATCAGATACAACACGCCTTCATAAATAGGTGTATCAGTGCAACATAGGCGTAACTTTTGGTATGTTTTAGAGAATGTAGTTATCTACATTTATATATTTTATGTAAAATATGGATAGAGAATGTAACTTCTGACAAACGTAGTTATGTATTCATTTTGTTTTGTTATTCATGTGCATGTATAAGTTGTTGTTTGTGTGTTGTTAGTTCTAATGGATTAGCCCGAGCATGACATGAATGATAGGCAATGTGCGGCCAGAGTCCACCGATAGTCAGTACAACCCCTACTGTTCGCTATTTTACATATTTATTTTCTTTTTAATTCTATATAGCATTGTGTATAAATAGTCAATGAAAGAAAGAAAAATCTAAGTTTTTCTAATCACGCCTTCTTTTCTACACATATAATTGCAATTAACAATCAGCCTGCAACCCACATAAAAATGAATTTTCCCATAGTCAATTTAGATTAATATTGAAATATATATGAAACACAATTAACTAAAATATGATTGTGTTAAAAAGCTCACAAAATGGGAAAAAATCAATTTCACCACATAAAATGATGGAGAAAAAAAAAACTATCAAAGCAGTGATTCTACATTTTTGGATTCCAAACTACTTGTTTCAAATATAAATCTGCAACCGAATAATGTATTTAAGGAGATAAACTAAGACTAACGAATAAGCAATAATATTTGATACAGAAGATTTATCAAATAAAGAACGCAGCATGGATTTCATCTATGGATGTCAGGATAAAATAAGACTAGAACGAATAAGCAAAATTTTGACTATGGCACATAAATTAACAGTGCATCATAGATAAATTACATGGGCACATACATCTATTGGCTTCGCTACTTGCAAAGTGACTTGCAACCGAATCCTTCCATACGACTTTGCTCGAACATTTAACCCTTCTCACATCTGCGCAGCCTGCAAGATATGCCCACTCACATCATCATCACCTATCCTATTTTCAGAGTCATGAGTTAAGCCCAACAGCTCTTCCTTAGCTTTCTGGGCATCATTTTCTCCTAATGGAGGTAACATTACAGCATTCTTCTTGTAATTCCACACAAGCATTGAAACGTATTCCTGAGGGGTTATGAGCCCCTCTTCCCTAATGCATTTCCTTTGCTCATCAAGAGTCTTCCGGTCCTCAAGCTTGATATACTCTAATAAAAAATTCTCATGATCTGGCTTCCATCTACTTGGAAATGGTGTGTAATCTGTCTCTGGTACAAGGGACATTCTCGTGTACTGAAGTCCCTCAATAGAATCCACAAGGCCCATCCTCATTAACTCGTTGTACTCTGGTGATTGCCCCTTCTTATCCTTCAATGGCCGTTGAAGATTCCTTGCACCAATCTTGTACACTTTAGCTCTAGATCGAAGCTTGTATTTAGCAGCATAGAGCTTTGCCAAGGATCCCCGGATAATATAAGAACAAAAGTTGACAACTTTTTTGCGGTTATCGGCATACCGATACCATTCCACCATTGTTGATAAGAACTTGTTCATCTGTGCATTAGTGTGTGCCTGAGTAGCATGGAACATTCGAAAGCAAGGCTGAGGATCTGGGTCTCTGTCACCCTTCAAGAATTCTAGTTTCCTGAACTGCTTTATGCACTGCTTCAAACTTGCAGTCACTGACAATAGTGTGCCCACACCCTTCTCACTAATGATCTTACCTCCAGTTGCAGTATACCTGAGAGTAGGATACACAACCCGGCGGCACAACACATGGTCAAGAAACATGATCCCCTTAGTAATATGCTCAATTGGAACACTCTCATTATCCAATTTAAGCTGAAATCTGTGATCACAAAACTGAATAAGTTGCTTTCTCAATTCAGCAGCATCAGCACGAGGACCTCTCACACCAACCAAAATGTGCCCTCCAAACCTAATATAGTCCATCTTCCTCGTCTTGTCCGGCCCACTTGTCGGCACAAACTCTGGCCACGAGGTGTTCCCTTGCTCTATGTCTCCCTCCTCCCCTGTCCAAATAACATCAGCCTTAGATGGCTTATAAAAGTCCTTGATTTTGCCCTCCATCCACTTATCCAATTCATCAAGACAAATATTTGCGAGCAAGGGACTGAGAACCCCGCAATGGCCCCAGTTGGGATACTTGTCGGCCTCCGCTGGTGCAAAACCAAAGAAGGATTGGAGCCAGTATGGATCAGGCTTCGGTTCATCCTCTGCCAAAACACGCTTTTTCTGATACTTGCGCTTCTTCTTCTTCTTCTTCGCTTCATCCTCGGCAGGATTGCCAGTAACCACAGGAGTCACAAGCGCTGACTTGATCAAATCAACAATCTTTCTATCCCTAACCTCCCGAATGAGAGCGCTGAGAACCAATCCAGGCTTGACGCCATCCAGAATCGTACTAAGATCACCCTTCAAATACCATAGATACCCAGCAAAGCTACGGCGAATGGTGCGAACGACGGTGTGGGCAGTGCGGCCAGGGCGAAAGGCGTATGATTTCTGCGAGAACCTCGCCTCAAAGACGGGTTCGAGAAGAAAAAGAAGAACTTCCTGTACGATTCGGTCCTGGAAAGGGGAAGGTTGGGGGTTAGTGAGGAGGGCACGAATCTTGCGCTTGGAGAGGGAGGAAAGATCAGTCTTGTCGCGTGGGGAACGGATAAAGAACTCGAGGCGGGCTCCCCAGCGGAAACGACCGTCAAGAACGGCGTTGCGGAGGACTAGGATGTCATCGAGAGCAGTGTGGGAGATGGAGGATTTGGGGAGGTATGAGCCGGTCTCGTCGGCGTAGACCTTTTGATAGGACAAAATCCAAAGTTCGGGTCGGGTGAGGTGGTCGGAGAGAGAAGTGATTGTAGAAGAGGGATTGCGGAAGCTGGATATCCAGAGGGAGGAGAGGGTGGCGATGGCGTCTTCTTTGAGGAGGGGGGAGAGGGAAGGGGAGACGGAGGAGGGAAGAAGGCGGCGGCGGGGGGCAGAGGGAGGTGGGTGAGGATTAGAGGAGAGAGAACGGAGGAGAAAGGGTAGAGAGCAGTGAGGCGAGAGGAGAGATGCGGCGGCAGGAGAGGAGAAGAGTAGGCGAACGAGGGAGAGGTTCCGATGCATCGGGGGTGGAGGGGTGAGGAGCTCACCCTAGAGCACTGAGAGTAGGGCTCATGGCGCCTTTGGGTGCTCTGAGTCGGAGTGGAACTCGTGCAGGAAAGTCTCTATGTCAATCTGGGCGAATTATTATGTCCCGTCTCACCCCACCGACGGAACATCAATTTAAACGCGTCACGTCACTTGAATATACTGTACCCTAAGTATATCTGGGTAACGTGATGCATCTGAATTGATGTCCAGACAAATCCGAACACCGGACATAATAATTTTCGGTCAATCTACATCTCATCTATATGTGCTTATGCTACTACAATCCCTCCATAAGTCTTCAATCTTCATCTAAAACACCATAAATCTTAATTACCACTTCCAAGTTCTTAACAAAGTTATCAAACAACCTTACTCGAGCCCTCATCCCTTAACTAAGGTTTTGTTTGGAACAACTTTTAAAACAATTTTTAAGTACAATTTTTTTTTAAAATTAGCAATTTTTTACTAAAAATTTGCTTTAAAAAATAGTTAGAAAGCTGTCTCAAATGAAGACTAAGGTTTCGTTTGGGACGGCTTTCTTACTGCTTCTTAAAATGACTTTCTAGTACCAAAATTTAAATTTTTTCACTAAAAAGCCGTTTTAAAAAGCAGGAAAAAAATTGTCCCAAACGAAACCTAAGTCCACAAAATAAATTTACACTCGTAAGTCTTACCATCTTTAAAATCACATACCTCCTTAAAATTGATCAAAAACCTCAACAAAATCTAACACGCAACACTTATATGTCCCCACACGTCTTTTTTCAATTTTACAATACCTCAATCCACCATCAACATCACAATCATTATTTATCAATCTAACCTAGTCATTAATTGACATTGATTCATGATGTTAGCCTTTATTAATGCTCTTTGGCTTATAATTCTAAATGTATGTTGATCATTGTTACCCAAGGTCACTGATCAACATTACTTATCATTTATTATTGATCAACATTCACCAATGTCCACAATACTAGATATTTATTGACCAACATCACCCAATAATCAACAAATTATTCTGTGTGAACACTGAACGCCATCCAGAAACCAACCAAAATGTGCCACATCACCACCTGCTCGACACCGCTCGATATTGATGGCGTGGTGCATTCTGATTGGTCTCCGGATTGTGATCTGCGTTCGGTGTCCGCACAGAATAATCTCTCCCCATAATCATAGTTGATCGATATCAAATTGTCAATGCTCAGCATTGTGGGCCCAATTCAAGACAACTCAATGGACTGAAAAGACAAAGATAGCAACTCACTACTTATGTTAAATTTTTCAAGAGGACAACAAACTTATGGATGCTTAAGTTGGGTATACACATACTTTTACAGACATTGAAAGAAATCAAACTCGTTAATATGTATACACTAGAGGGAATCAATCACATAAAAAAGAGGAAATTAAGAGCTTGAACATTATATGAGATAAGCAACCATTAATCATGCCTTGAGGAACATTTTGTTTCTCCAATTTATTGCCACCACCTTCCTTGATCAATTTATTACACATCTATCATTTAGGGAATAAGTTAAACATATTACTAGTGTTATTAATTACTCATGTAATATAGAAACTTGCTTAGCCTAGTTATCATACATCAAGAAGTTAGCAATTCTTAATTAAAATGAGAGATAAATATGAAGAAAAAAACTTAGAAATTAGAGTCAGCATTTACATTAAATCAAGAGAAATTTGAGGCCTCAGTTTTAAACTAAAATATTGTTAAGACATTTAAAAAATAAGTTAAACAAACAACTTTGATGGAATGTTCTTAACTTAAAAGTAAGACCTCAATTACAAAGATTATAGAGAGTTTTATTCACAAAGAGCATCATGGAAATTAAGTGAACTTTGTTGGAATGTTTCTAAATTAAGAATGAAACCATCATTTATACACTGCAAACACGTTGTTATTTCCACCACCACCAACCCACAATCAATCGGTCACCGCCTATTACTATCACTACTAACCACCACCCCTCTCAGTCGTCACCGTCCGCACAGACCGCTACCACCACCAGCCACTGTAGTTAGCTGCCAACCAGCCGTCGATCGCCACCACCGGCCACCTCGGCCACAATATTTTTGCATTTTACATTGCATTCACTTTACTTCAAACTAAACAAAGAAAAGTAAAGTCACGCATTTATTTTACACTTATCCAAACAACTCCAAAATATTCATTTTACGTTGCATTCCTTTTACATTGCATTCCCTAAAAAGAAACAATCAATTAAAAAGAATTTCAATAACATATAACTTCTGAAAGTTAATATAGACTTAGTATTATTATTTATTATTTATTATTTTGTTACAAGTAATTGAAATCTTATATTCTACTCTCCTCTCGAGAGTGATTTCTTACTATGAGTGGTGATGAAAAAAAGTTAGGAGTATACATCCAAATGTTTCAAGGGCTCAATTCAAGTGAAGTTCGTCCAATTAAAGACAATTTAATGGAATGAGACAGAAGGAGAAAGCAAACTCACTCGAGTCATGTCGAACTCAATAAGATCATATTGAATTTACAAAGACTTAGATTGGGCCTTACTTAAGTTTAGTAGCCTCTAGTCAATATTCATTCCAACCATCTAGCTACCGCGTGGTGATTTCATCTAGTAAGCTGACAACTTCAACCGATAAGTTTGCGACTTCATCCATCATAGCAAGAAACTTCATTCAAGTTGATGCTTCAACAAAACCATAGCATTCATTCATGAGCGATTTTAGCCATAGAATACTGAATATTTTCTTGTAATATTGATTACTCGTCATCTATAATCATATAATAAGAAGCTATTAAAATTTTTCATGTATTTCTTATTTATCATATAGAGTTAAGACCTTTAAATAGGTGTCATTCATTTTTTTTGACACTGAGGTTTCATTTGGAACAGCTTTCTTATTAATTTCGACATCTTTCTAGCACAAAAAATTATCCAAAATAACAAAAAAGTAGTGGTAAAAAATTGTCCTGAACCAAACCTTTTAAATTATTACGTCCTCGACCGAACGTAGAGGAACGTCCGGTCTGAGGCCAAATCGCGCCAAAAAACGAGAAATACCGAGCAATACCAAACAATAACGAGGAATACCATCACGTGAAGACCCAATACCGAGTTATAACGAGTTATACGGAGCAATACCGAATTATACAAAAGTTGTACCGAGTTTTTTCTCGGTACAACTTGGTATTGCTCGGTATAGCTCGGTATCACTCGGTATTGATCTTCACAGAGCGGTATTCCTTGTTATTATCAAATAATACCTAGTAATACCGAGTTTTTTGGCGGGATTTTGCCTCCGACCGGATGTTCCTCTACGTCCTTGCACCGAACCTAAAACTGTTTTTTCCTCTAATTTATGTTCTTTATAGTTATATATAATTAAAATTTCAAAATAAACTGATCTAAAAAATACCATTAAAATTCCAGCAATTTTTTCTAAAACATTTTAGCCCCCGTTGTTGAGGCTTGTGGTTGGGCTTTGCCGCAACCGAGAGGCCTACTATAGATTTTGTTTGGGCTGGATCTGCTATTCTATCGGCCCAATTTAGGTAGAGTACCAAAAACTGAACCCGACATTTTTAGGAGTTCCAACTCTCCAACCACCTCATAGTCTGAAGATAAATAATATTGTCAAATGGTTGGTAATCTATCTGAACAGATTTGAACCGGGATCAATTCTATATTTTATATGGTTATAATTCTTAATTATTTCATTTTATGTTATAATTTTATTAAAAAAATTATATATAAAACTATATGATTTACATATTTAATTTAACATTTAAATTTTATTATTTAAATATATAAAACTAAAAAAATTAAATAGAATAAAAAATATTAACTCCCATTATAATCTTGTCACCATGTTTTCGCTCTCATCACCTCTTTTCTGTAAGATTTCATTATTCTTCATATGCTACCTATCACGACTAGTCTTATTACCCTTCACAAACTAATCCCACAACCTTTCGTCACCTTAATTCTACATTAATCGATCTCATCTTTGTGGCCCTTTGCCAGACTTTGTCTACATCGCCTTTCTTATGTTGTTGGTCACCACCAATCCTATCGTCCTTTGCCAGCTAACTCCATTGCCCTCAGGGGCGGAACCAGCCTTAATATTTAGGTGGGGTCAGACATTATAAGTAACTGTTGGTGTTGCCTCAAATTTGGCTCGACCCTTCACTACAAGAAAATAAGTCAACAACAACCAAGAAAATGAGTCGTATGTTTCACAGATATGCTGGGGTCCAAGGAGGCAGTGCTTCCTAGCTGGGCTCGACCTGATCGATTAGGTCGCTGGGTCAAGGGGCAGTGCCCCTGCAGGGGTTTTCAGGGGAAGTGTCCTCAAAACAAATTTTGGTTGTAAGGATATTTTTGGAATTCAAATTAATAAATAAAATGATAAATTCTTTTTACTATTTCTCTTTGTATTTGGTTCATCGTCTCCTAGCAATATCAACTCTACACAATGTGTTTAATTATGTTGGAGATAATTGCTTAAAGATTATACTATTTTAAAATTTTTAGTTGGGCAATTACCTAAAAAGCCTTATAATAAAGACAGAAAATAGATGGAGGGGGACAAATTACCTAAAGAATCATTCCACGGTTACTTTGCCTTCAATCCATGATGACTTCGTCTCCATCACCCTTCATCTCTGTCATTTAATCTCTATTAACTAAGTATTATATTTGCATTACCTATATTAATGGAATATTATATTTGATAAATAGAAAATTTTATATATTAAATATATAAATGCTATGTATGCAAATCCCCTAACTTTTATTTTACACCAAACAATACAACACTATTGTAATATAACTGTTGCGTCCTTGAATATTTGCAGCGGTAGAGAAATATAAAGTTTAATGTTTTAGCATTGCACAAAGATCCAGCACGCAATTAGATAAGAGAGAGCGTGTAGCGTTCATAAGAGACACCATAATTTTTACGTAGAACCCTGGGGCATGGCCCAGTTTGAATGAATCTACTAATATTTACAGTCGATTACAAATGAGACTCTTTCTTGGGAGAAGGCCTTGG